ATCCTCTCTTGCAGCTTGCGCATCTGCGAGCAAGGGGCGGGCAAAGGGCGGGCAGGCGTGTTACCTACGGTTCCGGGGCGAGGGAGCAGCAGATGCGCCGAGCGGCAGCCGAGGCAGAGGCCGAGGCAGGCTGGCCAGCGACGTGTCGGCCGCCAGCAGCCGGCCAGAGGTGCAACAGTCGGCAGCCCTGCCTGTCCATTCCACACCCGCCCCGCCCCGCCACCTCCGGGACCACCCACCGTGGCCTCGTTCTCCTGCAGCCTGGCCGCCGCCGCCGCGTTCTCGGCCTCTATCGCCTCCTTGTCGCGCAGCCGCTCCTCGATGCTGCTCTCGGCCGCGTCGTGCTTGGCTCGGCACTGGGCCTCCAGGCGGGCGATGCGCTCCTGCAGGGCAGGTGGCACCACGGGTGGCAGGCAGCGCGTGGGCGGGGAGGAAACGTGGCCCGCCGCCGCCACGGCAGGCAGCAGCAGCAGAGGTGCCCACGGCCGCGCTGCGCTGCCACGGCGCTGGCAGCGGCAGAGATGGGCTTCAGGCGTCCGCGCAGGCTGCCACGCGGGCCCCGCGCGAGCCGCACCTGCAGCGCCGCCTGCTGCCGCTTGAGGTGCTGGTGCTGCGCCTCCAGCTGCTGCGCCTCGTGCTCCGCCGCCGAGATCTCGCCGTGCAGCGCCTTGACCTGCAGGGGAGGCGGGCGGGCGCCGCGGTGGAATGAATGGATGAGCGCGGCTGCCGGCGCCAGGCACGCGCCTGCGGTGCCGCTCCCCCACCTCTCCGGATGCCCCAGACCTTGAGGCTGCCGCCACCACCGGCTGCCACGTCCCCAGGCTGACCTCCAGCACCACCACCTCGCCCACCAGCCATGCACAGGCACGCCAACCACCCCCATGCTCGCCGCCACCACCCCAACCCACTCCCTGCCGGCTCGCCGCCATCACCCACAGGCGCCCAGGCAGCCCCTCCAGCCCAAGGAGGGGCAAACTCCGTAGGCAGCTCGCTACTGCTGGCAGCAGGCACCCACCTTGCGCGACACCTCCTTCTTCCTCCCAATCTCCGCCTCCACCCCCTCCATCAGCCCGCTGGCCTTGGCCACCTCCTTCTCCACCTTGCCCACCACGTCCAGCCGCGCCGCCAGCTCCCGTGACCGCCGGTCTGCGCGCGCGGGGCGCGGCATTCCGGTGCTGTAAGGGTGGCGGGCGCAGGGCACGGGCGGCAGGACCCGCACCTCGCAGGAGCGCTGGCGCCGGGCCGTGGCGACAGCGTGGAGGCAGGGGAGCGAGGCAGCGTGGTGGCGCCCCGGCGCCTGCGTCACCTCAGCGCATGCCTGCCGGCCCAACCCACACTGCACATTCCAGCCCAGCCCCCACCTGCCTCCTCTGAGAGCATGCCTGCCGCCCGCGCCACCACACTGCAGATCCCACCTCACCCCACCGCACCGAGCCCCGCACCGCCCGGCCCCACCCACCCGCATCTGCCACCATGGCCCGCTCCCGCTCCACCGCGCCCGCCAGCTCCGCCAGCAGCGCCTGGATCTTGTGCGGCGACTGCACAATCTGGCTGCGCAGTAGCTCGCCCTGCCCCTTGGCCTGGCTCAGCTTGTAGCGCAGCTGGCTGGCCTCGTCGGTCAGCGCGTTGGCGCCCTGCTTCAGCGCCCGCACCTCCCCGCCCAGCGCCGCCTGCTGCTTGTTCAGTGCCTGGTTTTCGGCGTACAGCGCCTGCCGCTCCGCGTCCAGCTCCGCCACCAGCGGCAGCTCCGCCGCGCGCTCCTCCTGCAGCTGCCGCAGCTGCGCCTGCAGCGCGCTGTTCTGCCCCGCCGCCGCCTCCTTCTCCTGCACGAGCGAGCCACGTGGCAGGCGCCGGGGCAAGCCAGGGCAGCTTGGCACATCAGCGTCGTGGGCTGCCACAGGCACACGCATGCGTTCCTACCACCCTCGCAGGCCGGGCTGACTTGCGCTGCACCCACTTCACCTCCCGGCCTGCTGTCCATGCCTCCCGACGCCTCCCGCCCGTCCCCCAGACATCGTGCCACCACCTGCCCTCAGCCTGCCGCTGCGCCATCCAACCCAGCCACCAACCCCTGCCTGGCTGTCCTGCCCGCACTACGCCACCGACCAACGCCACACGCCCAGCCACCACAGGCGCCCCACCTGCAGCAGTCCCTCCAGCTGCTCCTGCAGCGCCGTGTAGGCCGCCAGCTTCTCCTCCCGGAACATTGCAAAGTTGAGGATGGCGGACAGGTGGCGGCGCAGGCGGGGGCCCTCGGGCTTGTACAGGTCCTGGGTCGGGTGCAGGAGGGGGTGGCGGAGGTGGGGTGAGTGGAGGAGGCGGTGGAGGAGGTGGGGTGAGTGGAGGGGATGGATGGAGGAGGAGGCGGGGTGAGCAGGGGTGGCGTGGGCAGGCCGCGCAGGTGTGCCGGGTGTGCGTGGCTGAGTGGCAGCGAGAGAGCCGTGACCCGTGGTTTGGTTCTGCTGTGCCGCGCCCTGGGCGGGGCCCCAGCCTCGTGCAGCGGCCAGTTGGAGACAGAAGCGGCACCACACAGCCCCCGCCACCAGCCCGACGGCAGCGCAGCGGCAGCGCAGGCACCTTGAGCGAAAAGTCGCGCACGCCGGCGGCCTGCAGCAGCCTGGACAGGTGGCGGATGAAGGCCATGGCTGGGATGGACTCGTCGTGCAGCTCCGGAAACTCCAGGGCGTCGATGGCCATGAAGACAGGCTGCTGCAGCTCCTCCCTGCAGGAAAGGGAGCCGAGAGGCCGGCAGGTTAGCGGCGGCGGCATCGCCCGGCGGCGGTGCACTGCCGCGGCCGCTCCGCGCGTGCCCCGCAGCCACCACGCGCACCTGGTCACCCCCGTCAGCGCGGTGACCAGGTTCTCGAAGATGGGCTGCACAAACTCAAAGCTGGGCTTCGCCAGCTGCTCCGCGTTGGCGGACATGCCCAGCTCGCTCAGGAAGATGCATATGTCCTTCTCCGAGAACATCGGGGTCCCAAACTGCGACATGGTGCAGAACGGCGCGAGTGGTTGCGCCGGCTGTCGCTGTCTGGGGCGGACAGCTGGTCGGTGCTCGCTTCGCACACCGGGAACGCTGCTGCTGTGGGCGTGGCTTGCAGCAGGAGAGCCGGAGATGCGGTGGCCGCAGCACAGCAGGGCTCCGCACGGGCGCAAGTTTTCACGCATGTGTGCTCTTTGGCGGCGCTCCCATCGATTCTTCGTAAACACGAAGTCCAATCTGCACATTAATATGTCGGACTCTGACAACAACGGCTTGGTGCTCAACCTGGCGGCGGTGCCCGAGGCGGCCGGCCCCCGGCAGTCCCGCACCCAGCAGCGCAAGCTGAAATGGACGCAGCAGCGGGCCATCAAGGTGGGCACACGCATGCCGCCGCCGTGCAGTGGGGCCGGGCAGGTCTTCGGCAGCCTCATTCGCCTGTTTTTGTTGCCCAAGGGTCGCTGCCACCGCAGCTTGGAAGCTCCAAGGTCCCGCCGGGCCGCATGCGTGCTGCCGCCGCCGCAAGCGGCGGCGCCGCCATTGCCGCTCCCGCAGCTTCACTCCCTGCCCTTCACGGCCCTCCGCCTTGCCCGCATGCAGAGGAACGCGCACAAGCAGAAGTTTGTTGGCTACAAGGGCGGCGGCAGCCCCGGCTGGCTGGGCAGCAGCAGGCGTGAGCCAGAGCCTGAGCAGCAGGCGGCAGGCGGCGGCGGCGGCGGCGGGCAGCTCAAGGGCTACTCTCTTGATGCTTATGAGCCTGACCCACCTGCCGCCGCTGACCTTGCACCGAACCGGCAGAAGAAGGAGGAGGCGCAGCAGCAGCCGGGCCAGCGGCAGCAGCAGAGGGATGCTCCGTGCCAGCGGCAGCAGCAGGATGATCCCAGCCAGCAGCAGCGGCAGCAGCTCGAGCAGCAGCAGACAGCAGCGGGGCAGCAGGCGCGGCAGAAGCCGCAGCCTCGCCCGCGGCAGGACGTGCAGCAGCAGCCGCAGCAGCAGGCCTGGCAGCCCAGCCGCCGCCCGCAGCCGCCAGCGGCCGGCCAGCTGCCGCCGGGCCAGCCCCGCAGCGGCGCCCGCCTGGCCGCCGAGCACTTACAGCGGCGCCAGCAGCACGCGCGTGGGCGGGGCGGCAGCCCTCGGCCCAGCGGCGGTGGTGGCGGGACGGCTGCGGCTGCTAACGAGGATGAAGAGTCGAGGCGCATTGGCAAGCTGCGGCTGGCGTCTCGCAAGGCTGGGTACCGCGAGCCCACGCCAGGTACGGGGCGGTACCGGGGCGGTTCCGGCGCGGCACGCCAGCGAGCCTGCCTGCCTCGGCCGCCGCAGGCTGTCAGCTGTCAGCTGGGAGCCGCCGCCTGCGTGGTGCGGCGTGCACTGGCAGCGATGCAGGCACGTCCTGCCCGCTCCCTGCCCCTGCCCCCTGCTGACCCGTGCCCGGCTGGCGCCCTGGCTTGCTGCCTGTGCTGCCTGTGTGTCCAGACTTGGATGAGGTGAGGGCGGCGGGCAGCGACGCGGATTCGGAGGATGTGGCGGCGGCGGTGGCGGCGGCGGTGGCGCGGGACCGTGCAGTACAGGCCGAGCTGGCAGCGGTACAGAGCCGTAGCCGCACGCGCCACGAGCGGCAGCATGCAGCCGGCGACGAGACAGGCGGCAGCGGCGGCGGCGGCGGCGGTGCCGGCAGGGTCCAGGCTGGTGGAGCAGGCGGTACCCGCCGCCTGGCCGGCACGCACGACCTTGGCCGGTTTGGTGGGAGCAGCAGCGAGGAGGAGGGCCCCGGGGCGGGGGATGGGGTGGTGGTGGATTTTGGAGTGGATTATGGCGCAGAAGAGGCGGCGCAGCGGCGGCGCAACAAGCGGCGCAACAAGGAGCGCGAGGCCGTGGCTGCGGCCGCGGCGGCGGCGGCGGCGGCCGGCGGCGGCGGTGGTGGTGCAGGCGGCGGCCGGGCCAAGGCGGGCGGCGCGGCCAAGGCCGCGTGGGCTGGCGTGCGGCCGGGAGAGCTGGTGCATGCGGGCGGCGGCGTGGGCGAGGCGGCGGCGCAGGGCCAGCTGTTTGGCGCGGAGCCGGAGGCGGGCGGCGGCGGCCCAAGCGGCGGCGACGGGGGCGGCGGCGGCGGCTTTGCCGCGCTGGGCCTGTCGCGCCAGCTGGCAGACCACCTGGCCGCGCACAGCTTCACCCAACCCACGCGCGTGCAGCAGCAGGCCATCCCCGTGCTGCTGGTGAGGCGGAAGGGAGGCAGACGGGGGTGGGAGCGGGCCGTCGTCTTGTGCCGGAGCCAGTGCCTGCGCCCGTGCTTGCACCCGGTCAGCGCCGTGCTTGGGGGTGCCGCGGCGTCCTCGCGAGGCCGGGCCAGCCAAAGAGCCGCTCGACTGCTGCAGCCAGCATGACCCGACCCATGCCGTGCCATGTGCTTGCCTTGACCTGTGCTGTTGCATTGCGGCGCCGGGTGCAGGGCGGGCGTGACGCGCTGGTCAACGCCCCCACAGGCTCCGGAAAGACCCTCAGGCGCGCCGCGTCCTTTCTTTCTTCTTTCTTTCTTCTTTCTTTGCTTCTTCTCCTGCCCTGACACCTAAGGCCACCGGCGGCCCGCCGCGCCCCTCGCCGCCATGCGACCCCTGCCGACGCGCCCGGCATGCCGCCGCCGCCGCTCGCGGGCGCTGCCGCTGGCTCGCGGCGCTCGAACCTCCTGTACCACCCACCTTCCCCGCAGCTACCTGGCCCCCATCGTGCACGACCTCGCCTCCCACCAGCCCCCCATCACCCGCGCCCGAGGCACCCTCGCCCTCGTCATCTGCCCCACCAGGGAGCTCTGCCTGCAAGTGTCCGACGTGCTGACCATGCTCGTCCGCCGCTTCGTGTGGCTGGTGAGCGCCGGCGGCTGGCGTGCCTGCCGCTGCGGGGCGGGCGCCGCGGA